TGGTGGTGTTGGGTTGACGGTTGGACTCGATGATCTTAGAGGTCTTTTCCAACCTTAATGATGCTATGATTCTTCCTGAGCCTTTTTCTCTCTCCCTTTTAAGATCCCCTTACGTAGATTGTTTGTAGCTCGTTTTCTCATCGCTTCCTCTGAGGTGCTGTATTTGACATTTTAGTAGGAATTTATCCTTTAGGCTCCTGCTTTTTTGGATTAGTGACCAAAGAGGACCTATGAAAAGTATAAATACTCAAATTTTAATTTTGGTGGTTGGAAAGACCTAGGTGTTAGGTAAGAAACAATATAGATGTGCCAGAGCTGCAGATTCAGTGATGGAAGTCATACCAAGGGTTAGAAAAGTAGGTAGCAAAAAAAAAAAAGTGTTTCTAATTATTCTTCATTCTTTTTTTTTTGTCTGAGTGCTTCTTTTAAACTGAGTTCGTAGCAAAAAGAACAAGACCCAGGAAAGGGAGAAGGGGTGCTTTTGCTCGCGTTGTAACTTGGAAAGAGCTGCTAAGAGGAACTTGGCTGCGCTTTCTCTTGCTAGAACACCCGTGAGACCGCCCAGGCCATCAAGGGCATGCACATCCGCAAGGCCACCAAGTACCTGAAGGACGTCACCCTGAAGAAGCAATGCGTTCCCTTCCGTCGCTACAACGGAGGAGTCGGTAGATGCGCCCAGGTGAGGCCCGAGACGAAAACGTGGGAAGGACGCCTCGGCTGAGGCTGGTCGAAGAAGAGAGAAGAGATGATGTTGAGGCGGCGCGGGGAATAGTCTGTTGACGTCAGCGTTATGTATGAACTTAAGAGGGAGGAAAGAGTTAATTCCAGTACAGCAAGCATCGCATCTACTTGCAGTGTCAAGTAATTGATCAGATTTAATTATTTTGGTATGCGATCTTAACCAAAGGGGATGTAATGGCAAGTTAACGGTGTGCGAAGGGCAAGTTGCGTTGTACCAGGGCGAAAAGGGAACTCTCTTCTTCTTCCAGGCCAAGCAGTGGGGCTGGACGCAGGGACGCTGGCCGAAGAAAAGCGCGGAGTTCTTGCTGCACATGCTCAAAAACGCGGAGAGCAATGCTGAGCTCAAGGTGGGTCGCGCAGACGTTATTAAGCGCGAAGTGTTCGTGTCGTGCTGTGGGTCGGCGCTCCTGAACTCGGTGTCTCTAACGCGGGGGGCCGGATGAGGCCCGCTCTGTAGGTGAAACTGCGTTGTACAGGGGCTGTGGCTCACTGTTCAAGTGAGGCCGCGTGCGTTTTTCAAGTTAAAATGCGAGTAATGATTTCTCACAGATAGCTAGTTCGTGCACGGGCATCAACTCTTTGGAGTAAGTGTGGTTTCGATCTCTTAAAATCTACAAAACAAAGCAAAATCTGTGCGCTCTTGTCCATTTGGAATATGCTCGGCGCTTAATTTGGTGACTTGGGTGGCAGCGCTGGCTGTCGCGGGACACCTTTGGTGAAACAGTGACCCCTTTCTGAGCCAGCGGCATCGTTTTCAGTTCGTTGTGACGCGCGGAGGGGTGGTCGGCGTTCCGCTGACCCCAGCTGGTGCTTGCTGGGTGAACGCTCAGCTCCCTGACGCTGCCGAGCGAAGCTGTTTTATTTGCCGGGGGGTGTGTGTGTGTGTGTGGTTATTCACGTTTTTGCTGTGGAGATTATTTATTTGAAGAGGAAAACCAAGTCGCAAGTTTTCTCTCCGCCCCCTTCCCTGTCCCCTTCCCAGGGTCTTGACGTGGATTCTCTGGTCATCGAGCACATCCAGGTCAACAAGGCTCCCAAAATGCGCAGGCGCACCTACAGGGCGCACGGCAGGATCAACCCCTACATGAGCTCCCCCTGCCACATCGAGATGATCCTCACCGAGAAGGAGCAGATCGTTCCCAAGCCGGAGGAAGAAGTTGCTCAAAAGAAAAAGGTACCGGGCGTCGTGTCCTTAGTCCTCTTCGACGTCGCTGTCGAGAGGTCCCGAGTGTCGACGCGTCGCGTTTCTCGGGCGGAGGGGTTGCTGTGATGACCATCTTAGGACACCTTTGGAATACCCATGAAAAAAAAAAAAAGTTGTTATTTCTGAGCAACCTCGATAACGTATTGGCAAAACGCAGCGTTGAGAACTCGGGGGAAGAGCTTCGCGGTGGTTTGTATCGCGCGGATGGCTTGTTCCTCTCTCCCCCGGCGCGGTCACAGCGTTCCCCCCCACCGCGTGTCGGGGTAACGCGGTGCGTTTCCGTAGAGCTGAAGTCGAGCTGACTTTGGCCTGTCAGCAGTGTCCCTGTAAGGACGCCCGAGTTGGGCGCGGGCGCCACTGGCGGGACGTCCTGTAAACGGGCGAGGGAATTTCTAACGGTTCTCGGTGCTTCCCTCACGGGAGGGCTCTGTCGCTGGACTCCTTGCGCGGTGTTTCGGGAAGGGGCGGGCTGTGGCTCTTCTCTCATTAGTGTCTTTTGTTTGTCAGATATCCCAAAAGAAGCTGAAGAAGCAGAAGCTGATGGCTCGGGAGTAGGTCTGACCCAGCAGATGTACTTAAATAAAATTAAGAGGTTACGATTTGTTGTGCTTTTTCAAGTTGAAAAAAGGGGGGGGGGGGGGGGGGGGGGGGGGGGGG